ATGGTGAAGAGACTTGTGCCCTTCTGGTGTCATTCCAGAAACACATCAGGAAGCACTAGGCTGTCTTCTGCAGCTAGGTTCAAGATGAAAGTGCATTTTCCTTCCACTGAATCAGAAGTCACCCAGTGTATCCCTGCAAAGATTTCTTGTCCATGTCTTTCTAATTGCTTGGCCTCTTTGCTGCATTGCAGTCTCAGAGAACACCAATGGGACTAGAGCAGAAGTAATCCAAGCAGCTGGCATTCTTTCCTTAGCAGATATAGCAATATTTGTCTATTGTCACTCAGGAGGGACTGTGTGTGGGAGGTACAAGGTCAGAAATTAGGATAATGATATTACATTACTCACAGGTGCACGAGTACTAAATGTCAAGTTACTTTGTCCATGCAATACGTTTTTCATTTTTGTTAGACCACCTGCATACTGCTAACAATATAGCATCTTTCAAAATGGCCTCTAAATCGGTCTCTGTGAGAAAGAGAGCTGACAAACACCCATATTAAATTACTATGGCAAACTTTGTTCAAAGTTTCTAAATACAGCAGTTTGTCTGAACTGCTACACTAGAGGGGAGAGACAAGGTGCACTGGTGGAAACACAGATACCAAGCCAATTACTCTCAAGAAGAGGATCCTAGTTAGCCAGGAATCACTACATCATGCAATCTAGAACTGCCGTGTGCCCAACACTCTCTTTAATACGATCCACTTCTTCAGGGCAGACTGCCCTGTTATAGACAAAGGCAAATCTTCTCCTGGTAACACATGGAATAACATATTTGGAAGGCACAAAGTAGTAGCGAGCAAAAACCCAAGGGTAAATTACTGCTTTCTAAGGGCTACAGAGATACGACCAATTTGTCCCAACAATGAGAATCAAGTCTAAATTCAGAGTAGGACACACTTCTTGCAACTGTGTTTTCCTCTGGTAAGAGGGATACAAAACACAAAAGGACAGAGGTAGGGAAGAACAGCTATGTCTGTCATGATAGGGTCACAGAGCTGGAAACAACATATGGTACACCTCAGTGCTGAGACAGGGAAAAGGTTCAGAAAAGACGTGTATTTTAGGATAGACATTTGAAATCCAAACTTAAAGCAATGTAGTGTGGGATTATACTGGAAAGAGACAAGAAAAAATAAAAGGAGGAAGGCAAAATTAAAAAAAAAAAAAAAGGACATTCCTATTTCTTTGATTTTGCTCTAGGACTGATCTTTTCTCAGTTTCTGCCTACATAAATATGCTACAAATTTGACAGACTGTCAGCCACGTATATGTATTGTGAACCAAGTATCCTGCCACTGATACAGCTATCACTGTGTTAAATCCTTGATATGGTGGATGTGAAGCTTCTTTGCAAACGTTAAGCCTTTGAGGGCACTCCTAAGAATGCACTGCTTCTAGAAACCTGAGCAAATTGAGTCATAGCTCAGCTAATTAATGTTAGTTGACTAATGAACTGTTTTCATACCTTCAAAAATCTTGTCTGCTAACAGTGTAATTAAAAGTGCTCACACATACCTATTATTGTTCATGTACTCCTGTCCTAAGTTCTTACCTGACACGCTCCTCAAGGAAAGGAAATCAGAGCCCTATGACCTAAATCTGTCTTCAAATTCCAAGCATACAGACAGCACATACAGAAGTACCCAAGCTTCCTGCCCACACCCCTTCTTCTCCTACTAGCTCATCTGCTCCTCAGCAGACAGTATGTGCTTCAAAGGATGAGGCAGTGTTAAAATCTCCAGTCTCCTGTGGATAACTTTTCTAATTAATGCCAACTGTCATACTTGCTCTTGTTATGTGGGTGTCTCTCCAACAGGAATGGAGAAGTCACAAGAGAATTACAATTACTGGTCATAAATTGGAAGTTTCATTTGGCAGCATCGTGAAAGCCAGCTTTGATGAACAGACATCTATTCTGACATTCAAAAACCTCCTGAAAATCTAGCTGATAGCAGAGATGCTCAAAAACACAGTTCAAAGGAATTTAATTTCAGTTTTCAAAGACATGTTTGCCGCTAAGCTGTAGTATGACAGTGAGAACTGATAAGCCTTTTTCAGACAGCAGGAGGTGGAGATGAGTAAACTCCTTTGCCAACTGCCAGATTGCGTGTCTGACACATTGCAGATGTAAATCCAAGTAACTCAATGGGGAGGCTACGCTGAATTACACCCACTGAGGAGGTGCCTATGCCTTCAAGGCAAGAGGTAGGAAAAAGAACAAAAAGACCTGATATAAACTCAAACAATCTTACGCAAGCCAGAAACCTCCCTTGGTTTCTCTCAAAGGCTGCCCAGAGTACTTGTCCCTTTGCCTGGGCACATTAATTTTTTCTTTCTTTCCTGCCATGTCAAAGCTATGAAAGTCAAAGTTACTATGTAACAGCACAAATCTTCCTTGCAAAGTGAAGTCAAGGAAGAAAAAGAAAAGAGAAATCCCTTTATTGTTTCTCTATGAAGCATGATAGTGTTTAGATCCTGAAGGCAAGGATTTGGGGTTTTGTTGCTACCAGCTGAGATATCTTAATCATATATTCTATCTCCTAGGACAAAAAAAGAAAAACAAATAAGAACAAAATTCTACAGAAATGAAAGCACAGAAATGAACTAGATCCCTTGATGGCGGGGGAACTCTGTACATCTGTCAAGATCAGATACACTTTTGGAAGATGTCTTTCCATCAAATACACACTGCTGGTCTTGGTCCAGAACTATTAACGAATGATGATATTCATCAAGATGGATTAGGTGACATAATGTTCCATACTGGCCCATGAATGCAACTTTCTCATCACCACATGCAGTTATATACTGACTTTTGAAGGAATATATAAATGTTGTCTGTTAACCAAAATTAAGCATTACTCTTGCAGAACAAAATGCTTCAGGTATTCAGAAACCTGGGCCAAATCAACAAGCAAACCCCAGGAGTTCTGATTTTTGTACTAATCAATTTTAGTGATCAATTACTACTGGGCATAAACAGGTGGGAGTCTTCCACAGTGTGCCCAGAAAAATGCCCTGAACACACACACACCTATAAGCTTAGTAGTGGAAATTTTTAAATCTTAGGACTCTTCAAGATACGTACCACTAGGCTCTAGGTTCTTCTCTAATACAGCAATCGTTCACCTCAAAATGAATATCAATTAACAAAAATACAGAAGGCTTTGGGGAAATATATTCCTTTCTACTACTTAAAAACATGTAACACTAAGCTAAGAACAAGAGTGTTCCCCAAACCTCATCATTTCAGCAGCTCAAACAATTTACTTTTGAGCATGTTCCAAGTCTAGTCAAACTTATAGCCTCAGGCTACAGAGAAAGTTCACGATGAAAAATTGAAAGCGTAATTAAAAAGCGTACAAAAAGAAGAAAGAGAAAGGGGAAAAATGATAGTCTGCCACATGCAGAGCTCAAGATTGTAATTTTTTCTGATTTATCATGTATTAAAGAGTTATGAGTCTTGCACGGTCAACTGTCAGGAGCCCAGTGGCACTGCAACAGCTGCAAGAGAGCAAGCTGGTATGCAGAACATCATCCTAATACCCTCTCCCTCAAGGTACTGGTGTCACACCTTTATTCCCGGACAAGTGCCTATCAGGAATTGTCTTAGCAAGCCTGCAAGCTGCTTTACAGAGGTTCTATATACAAGATGTACTACAACATATATTGTTTCTTTCTGCATGTACATGAAAAAAATATCAGACAGAAGAAGAATTAAATATATGCAGACCTGCTGTAACACTGTGGTCTTAAAAAAAAAAGAAATAATCCAGAAATAATCTCTGTGGTGACTATGTCTTTGTAACACGTCATGGGTGGCGTGTAATAACAGCAGCCAATGACACAAAGTATTGGCAAAACATTCTTCCTTGTTTTCATGAGCAGCTATGTCTGTGCTTTATTTCCCCTTTCTGCTCTACTCTGGGTGCTGATGCTAAAATTTCACTCTTTAAAAAATTATCAGCAATACAAACATTTCTCAACTGGTAAATTCTGATGGTAACAAAAGACATGACTAAGAGCTTTTGAAAATAAACTGTTCGTAAGGCATCAGATTACTGGATCCATAAATATTCAGATTTATAATAACTTTACTGAAACCAGTCAAGTTTTTTCTACATCTCATTAGGCAGTGTATTTTTAACACAATAGGATCTCCCATTACAAGATTCCCATAAGGTTTTCCATGGGATTTCTCCTAGCCTACTAATAAATTTAAGGGTTCCTAATAATTGGAGAATCATCGGGACCATACAGACATTATAAACAACCAAACAAAAAATTGGAAGCATCCAGAAGCCTGCCTTCAAGGGCATTCCTCCTGTTTTGGATTACCAGATGTGAACTCCAGGCTTCATCAGAAGGTCACACAATAGCCACCCTGAGTAGCCACTGGTGATTTGCTATCACAAAAAGACACAAACTGATCAGACCCTCTCTGCTCTCTAGTTGCTACCATGTTAAATCAGTGCAAAAAATTGGTTCCTTCTACCAAGAGGTAAAAATAATTTTTGCCCCAGGAACTATTCTACCAAGCATTTTAAACATCACATTCAGGACTATTGGACTGGTACAACTTTCCTGACTAGAAATACGTAAGTTTGGAGTCTTACACTTTCCTTTTAATACACCTACAAACCTGTAAATGAAAACAAAACAAAAACAAACAAACAAGCAAAAAAACCAACGATCATTTGCCACCAGCCGGCACAGCGCAAGTGCTTTCCAAGAGCTGTTTTCCATTGCAGAAGCTTTCAGACCCTTTGTACTCAAGGACTTACACACTGGGAAACTCCGCTGCAGAGCTCTGTCCATCTGATGTCAGAGGACAGCCAGCACACAGCAGGACCCAAGAAAGTCAAAGGCTTTTCACTTTAGCCTGAATTGCTACTATCCAGGCAGTTTTCTTTCTCCTTAGTCGCAGTGCAGCCTGCACCTGCTGTATAATCAATAGCAGTTAACAAGGAAAGACTTGGGCTCATGACACTTACTCGGGGTGTTGAGGAGACGTGACTTTTTGCAGTGGTAGGCTGCCTCCTGTTCGCAGTACTCCGCACTGTTTATCACAGCTTCAAGCTGCTCTGAGCTGCTGTTGTAGTTAAAGGACATGGTGTAGGGCTTCTCTGGACCAGCTCCTTGAACTCTGGTTAGCCCTGTGTTGTTGTGCTGCACTGCAGTCCAGATCTTGTCTTCTGTTAAATGAAAAAGGGATTGAACGGGAAGTTAACAGCCAAAAATCTGCAACAAGCTGGGCACAAAAGCCAACCCAAATCTAACATTTTACTGCATTACAGACAAGGTCACCTCTGAAATGGTCCCTATGTGATGAAAACCTGCAGGTCAACATAGAGCCCAAGGGCTGTTTCTCCCTGAACCAGCTAAAGCAAATGCTACAGCTTGCTGTGCTGGAGAAAAATTGTTAGAACTTCACAGCAAAAATGGAAAATCTTCAGCATCTTCTGTTGCCAGCATACAGAGAAAATTAGATGCATTTCAACTGGCTTCAGCCCTGGGAGTAGACTTAGTAATATGTTTTGGGATGGTAACATTCATCTTTTACAAACATAGCTTTACCTAAGAGAACAGCCCACTGTTATAACAAATAGTAACTGCAGCTGATGAGCTCACACAGAGTCATCGCAAACAGAGTTACTGACAAAAAGCTGCAATTGTCAACGTGTTCCTATTGCCCAGTTACAAGGCAGAGAATGCATTTTACTCAACTGTCACATTTTTCAGCATGAAAGCTGAGCAATGCAGAACAATTTATGACTCAGCATCTGTAAATAAGTGTAAATTTTGATGCTTGCCCATGCTGGGGACCGCAACCTCACTTCTTTCACTGCATTTACTGATGAGGCAGTGTATTTCTCAGGTCATACAAAGCAGAATCTAGGTTTACTCACAATTCAAGCTGCTACAGCACAGCTCACTACCAGCATTGATGTTGGTGTGATAAGAACATTGCAATTAGAAGCAATTAGCTTAGCAGGGAGGCTATTTCCCAGCAGGTTCACGTGAGATAGCAAGGGACAAGATAAAAAGGGAAGCCTGAATGCCCAGTCTGCTGAGCTGACCCAGAATAAAAGGCAAATTTTTTAACGAGGATTCACAGGACTGAGTCTTCCACATGCTCTTACAAAGATACACACACAGTAAAATCCCTCTTTACCCAAGAATATGTTTACACAGGGAAGACACAAGGCAAAAATAAAAGGAAGAAAATCCGATCTTAAAAACTGTGCACTGAAGTATTCAGATGATTTTACTGCCAAATAACGTGGGTGGATTCTCATACAGCACTATCTTTACAATGAGCTTAGCAGCTTTGTGGCCACTGTTATGTGTTACAGATGATCTACACTTTTTAAGCTTCAGACATCTCACAGATGACTTCCATAGAACTCTAACACGTATTTATAAACCCTAAGTGGACAATCTTTTCAAAGACACTTGTAAGTTATTGAATTGCCATTATAGAGTCATTCAGATGACAGGCAAGTAATGAGCAGCATCTGAGAATCATACAAATGCATCTGGCCCAACTTTGGAAGAAATTTTTCTGAGTAATTTACAACTTGATCTTGAACACTGGAGACTGTAAGGACAATTTATACTCAGCAAACTAGAGATCTACTCACAGCATTCTCATCATTTCTGTGATGGTGGATGGAAGCAGTTTCCTCATAGATCTATTATTATGAGATTCTTACAGAGTTCAGGATGCTGATTGTGGATCCTTTGAGATGGAAGTCAAGAAAGTACTGAGCAATGTGTAATACATAAAGGTTAGATTAAAACCATAAGAAATACTACAAATCTACTGCTTTTAAATCTTGCCCCAGTGCTTGTAACACAGGCAATGCAGTAGCACAATATAAAACTACACAGCTCTGCACAATAGACCGCTTCCAATACGATGTAAGTCAGTTAAATCATAACACATCTTACACATCTGAAAAAGTGATTCTCATTAGCCAAAGTCTTTTTGTTTATTTTTCATTTGTTTTCTTAAGGATTGACATAAATGGAGTGGATTTTTCCCAAGTAATTGAGTGTGAACCAGCATTCCTCTCAATGAAGCTGGTGAAAGTCGAAACCTTTGCTTTCACTGAAAAACATACATTACAACAAATGTTAAGTTGCCAGTACTATAAGTCAGATGTTAAGTGAGATGTAAAACAAGAGAAGGGAATGAGCTGTTCACTAGAAATTCCAGATGGGCAGTCATAAGCTCTTCTATTGAGCATCATTAATACACATTTGAGAAACTACGTAGGCTGCTGTGAAAGTAATGTCTCCTATCTATATCCATGGAAGCTACAACAGTTTCAAAGAACAAAATAACATCATCTGACAGACCAAATTCTCAGCTACCAAACCCTATTTTTCAACACAGTCACCACCATTAGCTATGCATTTTCACCAGCAATGGACAAGAGCCTGCATGTTATGCTTGTAAAACCTGCACAGGTAGAGGTGAGCCATTGTTTCACAGCTGCTATTATTATTGTATGATGGTATCATTACCAGGAAAATGTTGCCTATGCAGACCATCTTACAATGGCATGAACAGATGAAAGTCAGAAGGCACCAAATCTAGACTACATGGTGAGTGCGGTGGGTACCTGCAGCCAATACTGACAATGTGCTCTATGGTCTTTAAATTGGTATAGGGCCTGACATTATTGTGCAAGTGAAAGGCTATCTTCTCTGATGCAATTTTTGAAGTTGAAGCCTTCAGCTCACGTCATGATGTAGCAGTCAGAATTGATGTTTTTTCCAGGTCCCAGGAAATCCAGAAGGATCATCCCTTTCCCACCCGAAAAGAGAGTGCACACCACTTTACCCTCTGAGGACTATGTCTTGGATTTTTTCTTCAGTGAGAAATTCAAATGCACGACTCCACAGACTGCCTTTTAACTCCAGCTCATAGTGGTGACATGTCTTTTCACCAGTAATGATATAATCCAGGAAATTGTCACCTTCAGCTTCGTATTGCTTCTATAGTTTCTGACAAACTTGCATACTGTGTTCTTTTCTATTCTTGTGTGAGCAGTTGTGGGACTCCCCTGGCGCAAACTTTGTGATCCTTGTGATATTCTATCATTGCCACTATTGTTTCCAACACACTGCAGTCAATACGCATTATGCAGTTCCCTAGTCACAATCCACTGATTTGTGCGGATGAGGTCATAGAGATGCTTTCGTTTCATTGTGTGACAGCTGTGCATGTTTGTCAGGAATGTGGCTTTTCTTTCATGTTACTGTCACTACTGTGGAAATGCACCACCCACCACTTCACTGTACTCACATCCACTGTTTGGTCTCCATAAACATTCAGCAAATGTCAATGAATATCAATTCATTTTTTCCACGTGGAGGAATTCAGTGACAAACCTTTGCTTCATACACCCTTCCACATCATATGCCATTTTGTCAGACAAACCTTCTGTGGCCATCTGTCACAAGTCAACATGTAAAAGAATGCTGGTATGAAGGTTCAACCTCCACTGCCCTAACATCAACATTCACCTCTGACTTCATGGGCCAACATAATAAAATAGGAGGCATTACTTTCAGAACAATCCTCATATAATAAAATCAATGTTTGTAATACTGTCTACACTACTAGTTAGGAAATACAACGACCTTTAATATTAGAGTTGCAGAGTGATTAACACTTCAATATTTTCCAGGTTTTGTACTTGTACACCAGGAATGGTGCCATGTGGGTACTTGAAAAGCCAAAAAACCAACCAACCAACACCCTAAAAAATTATCATAACATGAAACAGTTTTCCCAAGGAGCATTGGAAATGTAATCAATTGACATGTTTGAAATGAGGTTGGACAAAGCATCAGAAAACATACTATCAGAGACAACTACTTATTGACAAACATATTGAACAGACAAGATGGACTGGTCTCTCTTTTGTCTTCTCCCTAACTATGGATTAATTTTCAATGGTCTTGTTATCATCACCGATGCACTCATCTGTGACTCTGAGATCTGAACTTTGGCATTTAAGGGCTGCTTTTCTCCACAGTATTTTGTGGAAATGAGAAATTAACTGCAGATTATCCATCTTCTGGTTTGCAGGGGAAAAGGAAAAACAAATTGAATTTCTGTCTGTACTGAATGTAATTGTGATTTAGCAAGTAAATCAGAACAGAGAGGAAGAAGAAAAAGGAGAAGCAGAAAGGAAAAAAATCACAGTTACATTTCAGATGTTTTCTAATCTACATATGCCTGATTTATTATGCTCATTAGTTTTATAGGTCAGATCTGTGTTTTACTTCCAAGATTCCTTCTGTGCTCCATCTTTGAGGTAAAGGTAATGAACAGCAAACCTCAAAAGATATAAATATTTATCCCACTGATCTAATTAAAGGAGAGTCACTATCAAGCATATATGTGAGATGACAAAAGCTACCAACTCTTAAAAGTTTTTTTTCTGTTGCCTACGTACCTTTGCTGTACATATTTTCTGCTACCTCAGCACCTTTTGTTTTTTTTTTTTCCTCCCCAAAGTCAATGAAAAAGACTTCTAACTGAAGGAAAAACAGCTGAACTGGAGCACAACAAATTCTCAGACCATTTCAAGATGAGAGCAAAACCACGTCCATAGGCTTCTGCAGATCAGAGGGCAACCTTTCTCCTGAAGACCCTCACCATTAAGGTCAAGTTCTTTATTCTAATACCATTTTCTCAACCTGAAACCCAGTGGCCTGTGGGAAAAAGATCATTCTATTTTCTCAAATTCACATCTGCAATTTTAGCTAAGACTGCTCCCGGAATAGAGCTGTCTGCCTCATAATGAGGGCAAAGAATTCTCTTCCTACAGTTCAGTCAGTGTGTACTCTGAAACTTACTGAAAGTGATCTGTGAGCTTGCATTTCAGACATGCTTCAGGGCCTAGGCAAGTAGTGTAGCTGCAGTCTGGACATGCACACGCATCATTCCAGTTAGAAAGAAGTGCAGCAGCTGTCTGCAGATTAACTTTGCAATTTGCATATACCTTTGCAGAGACATCTCTGTAAAAATTACACCCGTGCTATTTGCAAGTGGGTCTCTAAACAATGTTCCTATTTCACTTTTGTGTTTGTGTTTGTTTTTAAAATCTTTACTATTTTGGGGTATGGTTTCTTTATATTTTTTGGAAGTGACATAGACACAAGCCAAACTGAG